TGTGCGCGTTGATATACCAACGTTTAAAACAGACTGCAACATTAAATTTTTGTTATAAAAGCAAAGAAGCTGCTGAGTAGAAACTAAACCGTCCTAGACTTATTCCGTTTCATTCGTGTACTTTCATCTTGATGGGGTCTGTATGATAAATTTACTTCTGCCTTCTAATCAGGCACGTAAACAACATAGAGATAAAACATTTCATTTTGCTTTTGTGGAGTAAATTCATCTTAAAAAAGTTAAACTAGTGGACCACTTTCTCCGCGTACTTGTAAAAATAGGCATTGAATATGTCGCGCTACAGCGCGAAAATCTTCTTGTTGTGGATTAGATTTCAGTATACATATTCTTCATTTCGCGCCAGAATAAATTAGTTTGCGCGCAAAGGGCTTCTAAAAAAAGATCACAAGGTTTGTCCCACGTCGAGTCCACCTTCTAGAGATACGCCGGCATGGTAGCTGGAATACATTGCCGAGGCGAAGATCTGGCATTTTTTCCTCCTCGAAGATCTGGCATTTTTTCCTCCTCGTCTTTTTTTCTCCGCGACGTTTGTTTATATTTGTAGTGAGAATGCCGCGCATATCGGTGGATTTTACTTCAGTCAAGCGGCTTCAGTTCCTGCGGCTTGCTACTCATCATAAAGAAGAGTGCCGGAATCGCTTTGTTCGCCTTTAACAGATTTGTTGTCGAATGCAAGGTAAAAGAACGGACTACTGTAAGGTAAGAATTGAAGTTTAAATTTGTTTCTCGGGGAAAAATAGTGCATACAACTCGTGAAACCCGTGAGTACACAGGCGGCCCAGACGTAGTATGTGTCACTGAATGAATATATTAATATCCACATGGACAAATTAATGCGATGAGTCGTCGAAACTCCCATGGACTAAAATAGTCTAAAAGTCAAAATATAACAAAACAAAGCTAAGATACCTTCAACTGAACGTATCCTTGTCATTCCTGGCCGGTTTAAGTGGCATTTTGTTGAGTTTTGCAATTGTAGGTACTATCCACTAAAGAAGAATTAAAGGCTGGCTACAAAACAAACAGACCATCTCCACGCGCCTTCACACGAAGCGCTATAAATTCGAGAATAATCGACGAATCCGCTCCAAATAACCATCGGCTAATCTGCAGGTAACGTTTGCTCCTGCTTCTGGCTCGCTTGCTCCACAAAACCCATCGCAACTGCACAATAATTGCTCGCTCATCAACAACCACTGTTGACCTTTACGCTTCGATATGACCGCAAACGACCAGGTTTAATACGCGACGTGAATATTCAAGCTTAGCAACCGCGTTCGCGCAACAATGCAGCACTTGCTATGGGAGGGATGGTACTATTGCTTCTAGGTCAATCAATCGGGAAAATATTAAATATTGAAGCCCTTGTAATTTTTAAGAAGATCCAATTTGCCCAAGGAGCACCGAACAGATACGACTCTTAAAGCGGAGCTAAAAAAAATGGGCGGCAGAGGAAAAAGTGAACAAGAACATGTACCACATTTTCTCCATAAAAAGTGAAAACCAGGAAGTTTTCTGGACGTTTCACGTTGCAGTCATGCAAATCAACGGCAAGGAAATGTACAAGAAAGTGTGCTGCAATTAGACCTATTGTTGTTTTTCACAGTTCTGGTCAAGGGCATCCAACTTTTAATTTTTCACATTTCACTCACCGGGTTAGGCTATTTTTCGTAGAGAGTAAAATGGAATCCTAGAATTTTCGGATTCAAAAATGTGATGAAAGAAGGTATCTGAAAAATTATCTCCTTCGTAATACGTTAAATTGCATCTAAAATTTTCGGGAAAATAATTCTGAATTCCTCGTAATTTCGAAACGACTCAAGTTCCTCTAGAATGGCCGAACACTGAGATGCAAATTTTATAGCGCCACTTAGAATGCATTTCTATAGAGCTAAAAGTACTTTATGAATAGCTACAAAAGTGTTTTCAATTGAAAGTATTTGAGGAAACAGTCGTTGGGTGGCCCTGTCTCGTTGCCTTCTCCGCTTAGCATTACACGATATATTTTATATTTAGTATGAGATCATTAGCTTCGCTTTTAGCCCTCCTGACTAAATTTATGTAAGCGCTGTTTAGAATGCATTTTTCGATCAAAAATACTCTGGACAGCCTTAAATGTGTTTTCAATGCATTTAGGGGGAAATCATCGTTGGGTACCCCTGAGTTTTGAGAATAATAGTAATCATAAAAAAAGATATCGCGCACATAAATTTTACTTTGCGATATCTTCAGCTGTATCTTCTATTCAGCTGCATAGCGGGGGCCAGATTTTGCCTTTTTCCTGGGCGGAAAATTCTCGTCCTCCTTCACCAGTTTGGACAACATATTATGGAGTAAGACGTTGTTAATCTAAGCAAATAAGTCTGGTAGAGTCAAGAACCTATGCAAGCGGCTGGACGAACAATGTGACAGCAGCTGAGACAGCGAACGTTAGAAGAATTCGAACTTGAAAACCAGGGCTGCCCTGTTGAAAACTTACGGACGGTCCCGCGATCGCCTTTTGTTTTCTGGTCAAAACTAACGCAGCGAACCTTCGGTCAGTCGATTGACCTAGAAGCAATAGTACCATCCCTCCCATAGCAAGTGCTGCATTGTTGCGCGAACGCGGTCGCTAAGCTTGAATATTCACGTCGCGTATTAAACCTGGTCGTTTGCGGTCATATCGAAGCGTAAAGGTCAACAGTGGTTATTGATGAGCGAGCAATTATTGTGCAGTTGCGATGGGTTTTGTGGAGCAAGCGAGCCAGAAGCAGGAGCACACGTTACCTGCAGATTAGCCGATGGTTATTTGGAGCGGATTCGTCGATTATTCTCGAATTTATAGCGCTTCGTGTGAAGGCGCGTGGAGGTGGTCTGTTTGTTTTGTAGCCAGCCTTCAATTCTTCTTTAGTGGATAGTACCTACAATTGCAAAACTCAACAAAATGCCACTTAAACCGGCCAGGAAAGACAAGGATACGTTCAGTTGAAGGTATCTTAGCTTTGTTTTGTTATATTTTGACTTTTAGACTATTTTAGTCCATGGGAGTTTCGACGACTCATCGCATTAATTTGTCCATGTGGATATTAATATATTCATTCAGTGACACATACTACGTCTAGGCCGCCTGTGGTGAGTATTACCTCTGTTTAATATACCGGATGTCATGCGATGACCCCTCGCTTTTACGATGGATAGGACGGATACAAACAATAATTTCTTTCGCAACGTTTAGTATCATTTACTTAAAACGGAGATCATCTGAGGACGATTTTTCGTTATATATGCTTCATTTCTTGGCTTATTCCGGCTACGTGCGAAAAATTAGATGACAATGTTTGTGTGCTATAATTATACTGATAATTTCTTGCACCTTGAAACTCATGAAAGCCAAACTTGTTTAACCCTAGCAAAAAACTCTTTTAATGGAGGAACTCAACCTGATAGTTGCACTAAAATCTAATAATTGTTACTGCATTTGCATGCTCTCTGTAACCTCGTGGGTAGAACATACCCGATGGTTACATTAATAATAATCACTGCATTTGCTCTCTGTAACCTCGTGGGTAGAACATACCCGAAGGTTACGTTAATGATAATCATTGCATTTTCTCTTTGTAACCTCGTGGGTAGAATATACCTGATGGTTACATTTAAAATAATAATCACTGCTTTTGCTCTCTGTAACCTCGTGGGTAGAACATACCTGAAGGTTACGTTAATAATAATAATTGCACTTTCTCTTTGTAACCTCGTGGGTAGAACATACCTGATGGTTACATTAATAATATCACTGCATTTGCTCTCCGTAACCTCGTGGGTAGAATATACCTGACGGTTACATTTAATAATAATCACTGCATTTGCTCTCTGTAACCTCGTGGGTAGAACATACCTGAAGGTTACGTTAATAATAATCATTGCATTTTCCCTTTGTAACCTCGTGGGTAGAATATACCTGACGGTTACATTTAATAATAATATTAATCACTGCATTTGCTCTCTGTAACCTCGTGGGTAGAACATACCTGAAGGTTACGTTAATAATAATCGCTGCATTTGCTGTCCGTAACCTCGTGGGTAGAGTATACCTGATGGTTACAATAATAATCATTGCATTTTCTCTTTGTAATCTCGTGGGAAAAAAATTAATGCCTCTCTCCTGGAAATTTTGCCCTGTCCTTTGAGCATAGTGATCTTTGGGTAGCGAATTCACGAAAACAGGTAAAACGCTTTTTTTTAACAACAGCATTTATATTATTTGGCTTTTTGAGGGAGGTTAAACATTAATGGGATATAATATAAAAAAAGCTGATAAAGCGGAAAAAGTTATCTTTACAAAATGCGCTTTGACAATGTCAAGGAGTGAAATAAGCTGAAGTTTTGTAGTTAGCCCGAAGAAAACCTGTTCCTGTATGAAAAGCAGTTCTGATTCCCTTCTCTTAACTAGAAGAGATGCATATCCCCGTGAACCAGTTTTTTAACTAGGAGCGATTCCCACTCACTTAAGATACTTTATTGACACGAGTTCCTATTTCAATGTATGTCTAATTCAAGCTTAGCCGCGTGATAGCTCTTCATTAGCGAAAAGGTCCAAGAGATATTTTGATTGACGTGTTGTTTTGGATCCTGAGGTTTTCTAACACCTTTTCTCTAGCTTAACTGGCGAAGATATTCTAGGAATTTGCCCTTCAATTCCAAATTCTTTGATGTGCCGCCAGATGCCGTGCAAAAATATCACCTCTTGCGGCTCCTCGTGTAGAGTTCTCAGTTGAAGAATTTAGTCATCTACTACAGTGCGTTTCACAAAACTTTTGACAAACGGTTTCCGAAGTTCATTTCAAATTCCCGAAGTTCACCACGAACTTGGCAATTTCATTACACAGTTGTCAATCAAATCGCGAACTTGAGAACGAAGTGTTGAATTTCACGTGACAGTTCGAAGGTTCGCAAGTTACGAATTGCATTTGATGTGCGTGGGAAATTGAACTGGATAAATAATGGCAGATTTATCGAATTGGATGGAAACCTTCAAGGACAAAATGGATGATAAAAGTTATCAGGTCATTTTTGAAACACTCGCTGCGAACCAATTTACGAGTAGGCTTCAACTAAAACTTCTTACCTCGGATCAAGTCGACATGATGTTTTCAAAGGAACAAACCTTACCTTTAGGTGCAAAAAGCTTGCTGATATATCAATTAGATTTCCTTAAGGAAGAATCGCCGCTTCCAGTTCGAGCCCGGGGGCATAAAGCAGAGCGAATGAATATCGATGAAACGTCCCAACCCCGAGAAAAGCACTCGAAGTCTGAGGTGGAAACGCGCCGGGTAAGTTTGCACGTGTTTTAAGCGGGAACCTTTTGGTTCGTTGTTGAATTCAGCATTCAGTTGAGTTTTCGTCTAATATTTAAATCATTTCCGTTCTAGTGTGTTCTTCCAGCTTTGCAAGAGCAGGGAAAAAAATTTAAAGAACAGCTCGAAAGGGGAAAACAAGAATATCGAGAAATTGAAATGAACTTGGAGTCTATGATGATCCAAGTGCAAGAGCCTCCAGCGATTGGAAGTGCTAAAATAGTCTGTAGTTATTGTCACCATAGGGGTCACCGCAATCAGATGACGAAACCATGTCAGCTGAAGAAGTGTGTCGACTATACATTTTGCGGAATTAAGGAGAAACATCCCGAATATTTCAACAAGCTGAATTCCTTGAAGGTGGATCTCAAGAGAAAACAAAAAGAAATTCACGAGCTTGAAAACCAAGCCAAAGCTATGGAAGATTTTTCATCGAACAATGAATTTCATTTTATAAAAAATTTAACCCCTCGTTTGTATGCTGTGGATCCCTCGTATAAAACAAACAAACCCAAACTTATGCGAGATGTACGTATGCTGCGAAATTTCCTTGATGGAAAAATTCCGAAAGTATGTGCGGATGATCCCGAGCAGTTACGAATTCTCCTTGCAAAATGCAAAAAAAATCTTCGGCAAGTGGCCAATTCTCCCGATTTGTTTGAAGAAGGAGAAACTTATGCGAGTGTAGAATATTGTAAAGACATGTCGCCGGTTAAGTCTAGGTATTCTGCAGATGGAGGTAAAGAAAGCGCTAGTAAACAAGATACATTTAAATTACATTCGAAGGACGACACTAAAGATGACTCCACTTTATCAAGCGAAAGCGATGATTGCCGACGTAAAAAACGCAAGCGAAAGAGGAAGAAGATTAAAAAGAAGAGGCGGCACCATTCAAGTTCGAGTTCGACTTCTGAGAGTAGTGAGGATAAAGTTCGCGCGGCCCGCCTAAGCAGACATTCGTTTACACTGCCACACTATTACCACGGATATCCAATTCCTTTCAATACCGGTCACAGTGGAAATATACAGAATGTTGCCCTGAACACATCACAAGTACACGGTATGCACTTGGAAAATACACAACATCCGAATTTTGCGAATATGTTTTATCAACAAACTCCATTTCCTATTCCATTTCAACTTCCTGTTCACAGTTTTCAAGCGGCTAACTCAAATATTCTGGCGAATTCTACTTCTAGTACCGTTACTGAAGAATCGCGTGGATCCTATACCCAGAATCCCCAAAGTCCTGGAAGATGGGGTGGTTTAAATACGCTAGTAAATGTTGCCACGCACTTTGCAGACACTGATCCGAAACAGAGCTAATGTAAAACTTTCATCATGTATCATGTACTCTGACTCCTTGGCTGGTGTATAAAACAGTTGTGTTCAAAAACGTTTTGAATTTGTAATAGACTTTTGGTAAAATAGTTCACTGTCAACGACAGAACACTTTCAGTTAGGTTTTTATCGCTTGTACTGTATGAGTTTTGTTCTGGGAAATAAAGGAGATTTAATAATTTTCCGGGAAAATCCAATAGATTCAGTGTGTCATTTAGACTGTGCTAAATACTTTAATTACTGTAAAAATTTAGAAACATTTCCATTGATCAATTTATTTTAACCAACAAAGCAAGCGAGGTTTATTCTATGATGTCTGTGATGTTTGATCCTGAAATATAGGGCGCGATCCATTCAACCAAAATTTCCGGAAATTTCGGTCCAAAACTCAATGGATCGCTTCGGTCCAACCGGAAAAGTTTCGAAAAAAACAGGTCCACCTTTTGAGGTGGTCCTCTTTTCCCGGTCGGACCGGTCTGAATTTTGGTTGAATGGATAGCGCCCATAAAGTACTTGAGAGGTCCTGAGAAACGACAGAGAAGTCCATCTTCACAGACGACCTGCTACTTTTAGATTGTTTACAGTGTAGCTATGTAAATAGAAAGTTCAAAAACACGAAATTGAAACCTATACCCGTTCCAAACTTTTACCGGATATTTTTGTTGTCCAGTCGTCTGGTAACATTTGTTCAGTGGTAAATTTTAACAAAACATTTTTAGGATTACAAATTAACGGAAACTAGTAATTACTAATCGACGTAACCACAATGTTTGAAGAAATTGCGAGACATTCCAGGAGTGATTGTGCTCAGACCTTGGAAAATAGCAATATCTGTGTGAACTTCGGCAAACTTAGAGTGCCTTCGAAGCCATTCCTTCAATTGCCTGAAACAATGTTCGCAGGTATTATACTGGGGATGGTAAGGTGGTTGATAAATCAAGGCAATGCCGCGGGCTGCCAACATATTTCTTAAAACTGGTTCCACATGTCTGGCATGGTGAAAACCGCAATTATCCATAATTACGGTATCACCAACTTGAAGAAGCGGGTTCCCAAAAAAGTCTTCTTCTACTAATGCTTCTGCGAAGAAATTAAGAAGTTCAAGTCCATTAGAAGGCCTAGGTAACAAATTGACGTGTCCAACGCCATACATATTATGCAGAAGATTTACGGTAAAGGTAGCATTGCTTGCGTATCGCTGAACTTCCAAAGCTGGATGGCCTATTCTTGAATGTCCGTAATGTCTGTTTCCAGTCGTCTTAACTACTGAAGACTCATCAAAAAAGTGCATTGTCCTTGGATCAATAGTCGCGCAAACTGTTAAGTATTCAAACAATCTGTTTTCATTTTCAGGTGTCAATGATTCTTGCGGAATAACGCTAATTTTCTTGTAAGAATAGCCCAAATCGTGCTTTAAGCTACGGCTTTTCGATGAACGCGACGGGACATTTTCAGGCAAACACACGTTGTCTTCCACCAATTTGTTTTGGATCTCGCTGCTGTAAATGCTGGGCTTTAATTTTTTACAGTACTCAATATAAACATTAACATCGTCAGTACGCGCTAACCGAGTATTATTTCCCCCTTTTTCGGCTTCTGAATTCCCTCTACGAACGAAGTTGTCCACGATGTTGGCAATGGTTTGTTTCTGTAGACGTAGCTCTTTCCCTATTTGTGTTGGCCCTTTCCCTTCTAACCAGCTTTCAATAATTTTCTCCCTGACAGAACTTGGAATTGCTTTTCCTTGCACTGTGAATGGATTCATTGAAATAATAATTACCAACCCAACGGCTGGTTAACCGAATAGCGTGAACTTCCCTTTCAACGAACTTGGCAACTTCCCAACGAAGTTCGGCGCGAAATTTACAACTTTGGTTCAAATTTCCAGACTTGATTGACAACTGCGTAATGAAATTTGCAAGTTCGTTGCGAACTTCGGGAATTTGAAACGAACTTCGGAAACCGTTTGTCAAAAGTATTGTGAAACGCACTGTAAGACGCTGCAACTTTTGAAAAGAATGAATGCATGACTGAAAATTCTTTCTTTAAACGGGTTCAGTTATTGGAGTTAAATTGCTTGAAGGGGGCTTTGTACTAGAGTATAATTCGTTCCAATCTAATGACGGTTTGAATTTAAAGATGAAACTGACTAAAAAATGTACATAAACTGCTGAAAAGAAGTTCCATAGTAACTAAAGCACTAAAACTCTATAATGTGTTAGACAGGAGGGAGGGGCCGTCTCTAGGGTAAACATTGGTTCACTGATCACTGCCAGTGTGACGTCACGTCATACATCGGTGATTTTCAAAATGGCGGGCAAATTTCTTGTTCGTTACGTTGCAAAGGATGTCAATTTTCTGTATGTTTGTATTCATCTTTTGCCTTCTTCAATAAGGCAGAGCTTTTGAAAAATAATATGGAAATATTCGCCATAAGGTTCAGTCGGAAAAAGTTTCAAAAGCATCACATGAGGCAAAGAAAGGTACCGCGAAGTGTCTATAAATTGGCACAGTTTGTATGATCGTTTATCGCTTTCGGGCAACGTGCGAGGTGGTGTGGCAATATCCTGATCTGAGAATAGGAGGATTGGTATATGATACATTGAGCTTAATGTACGCCGAGTTTCAGCGAGCCAAAGCGCGTAGTTCTTCTCATCAATCCCTTTAAAGTCGATGGAATGAAACAATGTGGAGACGACATAAATGTAATCTGCTTACATCAAGTCACTACCTGCTGAAACAGGTTGGCAGTAGAGATCAGTGGTAAGTTTTGAAATTTACTCGTTTACTTCTAACAACAGGAGACTTATATGCATGTTTTGTGCATGAATCAACATCAGGAAAACGTAATTTTTTGAATGGCAAATAGCTCCTGAAATACATGCAGGTTATAAAATTAATGTTCAGGCTCAACAAACGGCTCTCCATATATTAATGCTAGAGGGATAACACTGCTAGGCTAGAATCTATGTGCAATTGCATTGTACAATATTAACTGCAATATTCCATTAAATAATTTTTGATCAGGGGTGCAAGGAATCTCTGTTGTCAAAGTACTGTAATTATGATAGTGTTGAAGTTTATGTATACAAACAGAAATAGATTTGATACATCTTTTATGAACGTTATTGTTTTATGCACTTATTGAAACTAATCTGTGCAACCGTCAATACCAATTGTTCAGGAAGTACTGTTTCCCCAAATTTTAAAGTGGAAAAATCAATTTCAAGCTTTTTGTAAGAGCCATTGGGGGGCAGCCAGTGAGGAATAACACAACATGGTATGAATGGTTTACCTTCCTGAATGGCCATCCAAAGACGATGGTTTCCTTCAGTGATATAGGCTCTTCCAGTTGTAAGATCACATGATATAATTATTGGTTCTTGAAAACCATTTTTCAAAATGAAACGTCTTACTTGTTCAAGAAGATCGTGATTATTGCCAGCTTTTGGCATGAGAGATCTGTCAAATTCCCTATATTCCCAAAGATCTTGTGTTTTGACCATTTGAAATTCATGCGAATAATAATATTAATAATGTAATATTGTTTTGCTTTTTTTTGGCTTTGAGCAACCACTTTGTGTAGATTTTTTGCTCTGGCTATGAGTTCAGTACGTGAAAGAGTACTTAGTTTAGTGTGTGAATCATAGGCTGTTTTAGACTCATGCACTGTAAAAACAGACCAGTTATGGTAACTATATTAAAAGGTCATAACCAGTTGCAAAAGGTAATTTTAACCTAAAATAAACTAGTTAAAATCGTAACCTTTATGTTATTGGTTAGATTAACCAATGATCAGCAGTTGTTGTGACGGTTATAATTCCGTTAGAATATCGACTGGTCAAAATAACTTTTCATGGCAGTCAAAATAACGAAACCAAATGGTTAAGCAAATGGTAAAAATGTGCATCTAACCTGAAATCAATTGGTTAAAATCTTATATTAACTAATTGTTGGTCATGACTAACCAATAATGATCTGTTATTTAGAGCTATGAAGTAAGTTAAACACTGAATGGTCAAAACTGACTTTTCCGAGGGGTTAAACCGGCTGAACGGAAAACCACAGAAGGAAATGGCTACACAAACGGCGGGTATGAGTTTACAACAACAGATCATAAAAGCCTTGTACCCAACCTTCAACGCAGACTTTTCTCTTACGCTGAAGAAAGAACAAATAATCAGCATTTATTATGGGATTTAGGATAGGTTAAGACTGAATAGCCAAATCAACTTTACCCAACAGTTAAAATATTTTAAATGACTTGCATCCAACTCGCGAGTCTTGCTTCAATGACTGGGCTGGTACGCGCGCGCGAGAGGCGAAGTCGCGCGAAGCGAGGACTATTTTCTTCTCTGACGTTTCCCTCGACGGACTAGCCGAGAGAACTAATCGTGATCTAGGTGAAATGATTCTTCAAGATGTCCTGTACAGGTTATGTCATTCAAATCAATGCTGAGCACCTCGAAAAGCCAACAGCTATCCTCGCGTGTTTTCAAAAAATACTTTTGTGTTTTTCACCGGTCACAAAATTCCAGCGGGTTTCCGGTATTTGTCTTAAGTGACCTAAAGTAACTCTATTT